CGTGCTGTCCGGCTTCCCTGCCCGGCTTCCAGCAACGCCCAACAGGCGCACGGCGCCTCCAGCTTCTCGGTTGTGCCCGGTTTGAGTTTTGCTCAGCCGGCGCGGTGAAAGCGAGCCATCTCCCTGATGCTTTCCGCTGGGGCTCGGTTGGCCTGCTGAGCTTCGCAGGGTTGGGACTGAAAATAGCGGACGATCTTCTGGCAAGATCTTCCGGCAAGATCTTCCTTTCTGCTGCGCTGCCCTTTTCCTCGTCCCCTCTTCTTAGCCTTCCACTGCAGAAAAAAAAAAAAAAAAAAAAAAAAAAGAAGAGGAAGGTTTGGATCAGATTTGTTAAGCCTGTATATAGGTAGGAGCTCATTTGGGGCTCAAAATGTAAATCTGAGGTCTGAAGTTACCAATTAACTGAAAAGAGCCCGTGCAAACTTTTTGCAACAAAGCTGACCTTGCAGCCGTCTAAAAAAGCCCAGCTTCAAGTTTAGAAAAATTTCTGGCCAGAGGGCCCTAGAATGAAGTTGCTAAATACAAAACAAGTTTCGGTTGTCTCGTGGGTTGGTGCCTTCCTTTCGCTTCCAAGTTTGCCCTTTGGTGCAGCCAGCCTCCTCAGGGAAGAATAATGAATAAATGCTGTGAAATGTAGTCTTCGCTAGTAGGTGAAGTAACGTTTTGTCAAGATCAGTAATGCCCAACTCAGGTACTGATAAATCACAAGTTAGCTGCCAAAACCATGGGAATGATGACATTATTATTTTTAATTGTTAATTTGAGGCTCTTCGTAGTGGCTTCTGAAACTTTAGAACAGCTTTGTACTACAACCCTGAGCTCTTTTTACTCGCTGGGGTTCTCTTGAAATAACACTGCCTACTTTTAGGCTTAAAATAGCTGAAACCACCAAGTTTCCTGTGGTTTCACATGAAACCAAACACTTTGTGGTGAGTGTGCCTACTGTTGTAAAATAAGGGTGTAGGGCACAGCCAGGCAACTCAAAGGGTGCATTTGTCAGCCCAGTGCAGGGCAAGAGCTGATCAAAGCTCAGAAGGCCCTGAAGCAGTTCAGGAGGAGCTTGGATGTTTCTGTTCTTTTCTGTATTGCTACTTCTCAGGACTTTATCAATGGATTCATGGTATTTCAATGATTTTTCGAGCTGCAGCTCCCAGAAGCTAGGCAGCTATACAGAAATGGGCACTCAAAAAATCTAGCTCTCATCTCTGTGGGAATAAGTTTAAAAGTATAGCATGGGTACACGCAATGGCTTGGAGAGCACCTATCGGGAAAGGCTAACCTATTTTTCTCTTTGATTTTACAATCTGGGGATATGTGTGTGTTTGGAATATGTGTGTATGGTGAGGCAGCTGTCTTTAGACTATTTAGTATCACCTTCTGTGTGCAATAAATAACATGCAAGAGAGTACCAACTCCTTCTGCCCCTCCCCAACAGTTAGCATTAAACGAGTATTAAAAATCGTGCTTCTGTGCAGACTCTCTATTCTGGAACTTCCAGTGGTCTCACATCTCTGACTAATTCTAGCTGTCATTTGAATTAACAATATCAAATGCAGATTGAGATCATCTCTCCTGTTGATTGAAACGCACGAGTTACCAACAATGAAGAGAAGTATTCGAAGTCGCTTGTGCTATTGCAAACCGTATTTATACACAGGTTATCTACAGCAAGCGTTTTCAGATTCAGCAGAAAACAAAGGACAGGCCTCTCTCAGCTGTCTGTCTGGGTGACGTTCTTATGATTTCAGTGAGGGAAAAACACAGGTTTGAAAGCAGCTTATTTACAGGTCTTACTCTCAGGCAATTTACAAAAATAAAGTCAAACCACTGCCTTCCACAGAAATCCTTAAGTGGGTGAGGGGGCCTGGGATTTCAGTGAGAGCTAATGGTCACTTTTGCTGGAAAAAGAGAAATTGTAGCTGGGATAAAGCTTTTATTCACTTACTTGCTTATTTTTGATCGGTCTAGTTCTCTAAATCTGCATATGTAGGTCATACCTATAGCAAGCGACCTCACTTTGCCTGGTTAAATTTCCTTTCAGGAAGATTGCATCATTGTTCATTTCAATCTTCTGCAGATTTTTCTGTATATGTAAAGTGGGCCCTTCTTGTAACCTTCCACAGCTTCAGAAACGCAGAGGCTGTGGAAATGCGAGAAGAGCCTGCACTCTGCACTCGTTCTGCGCTGTCAGGAAACTACCCAGTCATTACACCCGCATCTGAGATACTCTTTTCTCTGCTGCCTTGATTCGGACAGCCTCGTATGTAGCATTGGTTTTGTAAACATGCTGCCCCTAGCGCGCCCAAAGAATACCGTCTTGACTGAGGTCAAACTTATCGTGGATACATGATAACCTGAGTTAGGCTACACCCATTTCACCCTGATCTGAATGGTTTTTTGCATATCCAGCCTGATTATCAAATACTATTTAGGTTGTTTTCCTGTTAAGAACACAGTGCAAAGAGAATGCAGACTGAGATAAGACATTTAAATAAAACAGAGTAAGGCATGTGCATGGGGATATGTGGGTGAATTATGCTCTGATTCTAACAACGCTAGAAGGTTGATAAGATTGTACTTACTCTAACCTGACATACCATACGGTAGATGACTCTCCACCTTTTCTCTGCTGGAAATATCCTCTACTGCATGACTGAAATAGTATTAAAAAGGTCTGGCGCATTCTCGCTAGACAAAATGCCTTTTTATTGGGGCTACATTTGATATCTTTCCTTAATAGTGTGGGTACTTCAGAAATCACGATACCTTAATTATAAAGAACGTATGTGCTCGCCAGTGCTTGCCGGTCTACTGCTGACAGAAACTGTGTGTGGCACAGCACAGAGGGGAATGCTTCTATCCCAGAGGTAGAGACAGCCTGAATCCGAAGTGAGGTGTCTGCCCAGTGCATGGTAGTGAACACAGAATATTAAATTATGCTGAGCACCTCCCTCCATGCTAATGAACCCACCTCCGAAACCTCTCTGTGATAATTTATTATAAGTAAGCCCAAGTCACCGTGTTAATCCAACGAGGTGAGATAAAACAGAAAGAACACATTCCAAAATAATTTCTTACTGCATATAACTTTATTTGTAGAGATGAATGCCTCTGAATGATGCAAAACACATTGGTGAGACAGCATGATGTCAAATGATGTCATTCAGTCACAATTTTCTTGAGGAAATCGGTTAGTTTTCCATAATTAGGCTACTGTGCATAAAACAATAGCTGAAATCCTGCGTGTACGTTTGGTGTAGTCAGGAGAAGACAATAAAAAGCAGTGAAAACAGGGACAAAAAGTGTACAATATGCTGCCTTTTTTAAGAACATTTTTACTTATTTTTGTAATCCTGGAAAATCTTTTTGAGAATGAAAAAGAGCACAATAGCAAAACAGAACAGGTAATGGGTTTGGAAGAAGTAGAAGGCCAGCTCCTTTACTGTATAAATAACATGAATAACGATGAAGCAGTATAGGAACAAGGCATACTGGTTTGCGGGCTGGAGTAGGTCTTGGAGTCCTTGGCTAAACTGTGGAAAAAGGAAAAGATGCACATTATGTCGCACGACTACACTCCACTCACACCCAGTCCATGTGCTTCTCTGAGCACACCTGGCCCTCTGGCACACTTAGTTCATAACAAGTTGCTGTGAGATAAGCCAGCATGTGAACTGAGAGCAAATCAGCTACGCTGTGTTAAGTGACAGGTGTCACATTCCCACCCATATCCGTAACATGACCTAGGTTTCCTCTCTCTGAAATGAAGGTAAGCGACCTCATATTTACTGCAAGAATGAGCGTGCAGGTACACAAAGCAGTTCGCGTGAATTAAGGGCATACCCATGGTAAGGCTTTTGTGTACCCATCTCTGCCTCTGTGGTACAAACTGTTGCCTTTGTTTTTTCACCACATGGTCATTTTCATACGTTTACACATGCTCATGGGCAAGTTTTCGGGTCTTAATTTAATAAAAGAATTCAGTAATTAATTTCCTTAGACCAGATGCATGTCAGTCATTTAGCCAAATATATATTGGACCTGATACTTCATTTGTTTTTCTCTGATATAACTTCATTGATTTAGTTGGAACTGCATTTATTTCACATAATTGTGAGATCCTACCCAGGCCTATGGATTAGCTATATGGAAAAAACAATAGTACATGCATATGGAAAACTTCAGGGCTTCTGTGGTGCTTAGCTGAGTGCCATTATTGTGCATGATCTGAGCTCCTATGTACAACCACAACACAAATGCTACAAATACTGTGTAAAATACATCCTTCTATTCTGTCCTGATTTAGAGCACAGAATGTGCAAGAGAAGACAAACATGCAAGTACATCTAAACCATTGATGATTTAGATGCAGATACTCTGCTTACTCTCTAACTCAGTTCAATGACAAATTGCATTAAACTGGAGCAGAGTCAGGCCCACAGCCAGCCAATGTGATCAGGAAGAGCCCAAACAACCAAGATTTGCAGCTGTCCCATTTGCTAAACTCTGCCAAATGCAATGGTCTCTTCTGGGCTGTTAACAGCATATGCCTGAACATACAATAGCTTCAGCTACTTCTGTAAAAAACAGGCTTACGAAATCTGAATAATTGTCTAGAAAATTTGCATTTCTTTGGTAGATTCTGTCATCCACTCATTTATTCATGCATTTATTATCTGAATCGTTAACTGATCAATTTCCAAGCCAGGAAATCGATCCCACTGTAGAAGCAGGAAACTGATCAAAGTGGCATTCAGAGCAATTCCTCTGATGTTCGGGGGGAGAAATAAGGAAAAAAAAAGTTCTTGGATCCTTACATCATAAACTTAATTTCTGAGTTAACTGTTCTTTAATATATTTCATAGCAATGAATGTTACCATAGTTCATATTGTAGGGAGTAGAACAACTCCATTCTCCTTAAGTATGTGTACAAGCTGTAAAGATCACCTAGTCGAGTCTAACTTTAAAAGTCACAGTACTACTCAACACACAAAAGAATAAAACCTTACAAATTGCTTAACATAGAATATGAATCTTTCAGCCTCTATTGTGTTCAACTCTCTTTTGTTTCCCTACTTACCGATCTTTTTACTGCTTGTTGATGAATCTGCTCTATTCTCTCTTCATGAAGCCTTTGGTTTTCATTATCCTCATGTTCATATTTCAGTTTAGCCAGCACAAAATACCACCTCATCCTCTCAAGCTCAATATCAGCTGCTGTGACCTGCTTGCCACAGAGCTGTTCCAGATCCTCTGCATCGGTGGATGCTTCTGACTGCAAAGCCCTGGTTCCTCCCTTCATGTCCAAATGTGCCATATGACACTTAGTATCCATGCTCTCTGTTTTACCATCTGAGATGAAAGATGATGTTTTCATGTCTCTGATGGCTCCCTGCTATAAATTGGAGAGAGGGAGGATAAATTCGTATTTAAGCTGACAGATGAAAATTGAATGTGTTAATCTGAAACCTGAATATTTGTTCAAGCGATTATTCACACATTTGTATAATGACTCACTAGTTCTCTAATGTCCGTTGTTTCCCTTTAAAAAGTTCGTTCCTAGTGTTGGAAATCTTCCCTTGAATGTTGCCTTACAAAATATGAAATATCCACCATATGAAAATGTTCTGATTTGAAAATGTAAAGAAAATTCTAAAAATACTTAATTAGGGCCTGCTTGATCTAAACCAAACCCTATGGCTCTTTTGACCAAATGGAAGGATTTCACATCTTGTTAATTTGATGTTAACCCATGAAAATGGGGAGCCATCGAGGTTCTTTACCTCTGAGATGTAACTCAAATGTCTCATGATCCTCACTTTCCTTTGCACACTCAGTTTCCTGGCTGATCTACATGTCTCACGATGCATTGTAGTTTTACATCTGGAAGAATTGTGTCTTCCACATACCATCTTTTCATGCTGCTGCTTCTTGTTATCATTATTCTGGGGTTCCTGTACAGGAAGTTGAATATCTTTCTGGTTTTCCTCAAGCTCTTCCATAGTTGTTTGGAATGAATAGTCTGATCCCTCTAGATTGCTGAGTTCTTCCAAATCTCCTTTTATTTCCTGGTCTTTAGCAAACAGAGTTTCTGTCTCAACGTGGGAGACCTCCACTGGTGTTAAAGCATCTCCAGGGATGTTCTGGAACAGAATGGGGATATCTATGTGCTGACAATGAAGCAGGTGACCCATATGTAAGAAAAGGAGTGACTCTGAGAATAATGTAGGCACATACACATAGGGCATACTGGAGCCTATACGAAAGTGGCTAGGGGCTTAACTCTCATTTACATTCCATCATGTTCCTTGCCTAGATATGAATAAAAAAAACCCCACTGGATATAGGTCTGTAGGTAGATCTTCTGAAGACTTCATTTGTAGGCTTTTTAAGATGAGAATTCATCAGCAATTCCATTTACAGTAACCCGTGGAGCTGGCTAGAGGCCCCCAGGAAGTAAGAATAGTATATCACACTTCTTTAAAATACAACATAATCAATATCTTTCTGTAGCTCAAAGAAGGATGGCTTTTCTTTCATGGAAATAAAACTTGACTGAAAATCTGCCTTGGGCTGGGGAGTTTCTTACTGCCTCCAGCATAGTGAGATCACAACTTGTAGGGTACATCTAGTCATTAGCTAGTTGTCAATACTATCCTTTTAACTGACTGGAGCTATGTAGACATTTCAGCATGTGAACTAAGAGTTCAACCTCTTGTTTCTGGGCTCATAGTTCGCATTTTGTAGAAGTGATATAAGGCATAGATTTCACATCTGAGAAAAGGTTTAGGCAAGTAAGACAATTAATTTGTTTGTTATTGAGTTTGAGGAAGAGGAGCAGAAGAGGAAGAAAGTAAAGCAAGCTGATTACCATGGGTAACTGATGTCCAAAGACAGGCAGGTAGCAGGCTAAACATAAGGCAACAGTCTCCTCTTCACAGGATTTCCATACAGCAAACATGAAAGCAGCTGTCCCAGTTCAAAGGCCAGGACACAACGACTGCAGAGATTCTGCCCCTGGCTGACTTCCTAACTGCCCTGTTGCCACAACAAACTGATGCTTGTTGCTGGCAAGGTCACATTCTGTCACATTCCGTCACATTCCTTGCTCGACCGCTGGGGCGGTATCCAGGCTCTCCAAGGGGACAGAGCTTACCTCCTCCTCTGCGACAGACCATCCTACTTGGTCACTGTTTTCTCCCTTGTCAATACACCTATACGTTGCAGTGAAACTTTCTGCCAGAATTTGCGAACTCCCAGAATGTCCCTGTGCCCAAGCCAATTAGCTCCTTCTGGGAGGCAGGTTTATTGGATCAGATAAAGCACCATGATAATAGCTATCCCATTTCGGTGTTCCTGGATAGTTTCTCTTCAAGGTGTTGCACTGAACCTCATGGATGTCATCAGCCCAGGAATCTCTGCACTGTCCTCTATTCCCTACCGTAGATATGCCAGCATTTCAGTTTCCCATCTATAAACTGGAATCCCTTGCAGGGACTGGTCGCAAGCTCACAGTGACTTTGTGTGACAGTAAAGGATGTCTATGTAGAAAGGTAATGTGAGCCCTTTAAGAATCTTAAAGAAACCTTTCTTCTCCTCTGTTATTCAGGAGTAGGAAGACAAAGTTCTTCTACTGTTACTAGTCTGTATAAAGCACCTTTCAGAAAAGGATCTATCAATTACAGGTTATATCATGTAAATAAACGCAGGGACCTCAACTCCTTTTTGCCCTGTTCCATATATCAAATACAATAGTGCTAAGTCAGCATATTTGCTCGGTAGAGGATGTGTGGAGGGCTGGATGACAGATCCAGTGAACATAAGAAAGACTAATGAAGTTACCAAGACCACTTCCTGTTGCATCATTTATCAAGTGTTTTGTCAGTTTACAGCTGGATTTTCAAATCCCAAGGCACACTGAAGACAGAATGATACATAGGGCTCTGGAATTCCATCATTAGTTTTGAGTGAAAATATTAGAGAGTTTTTAATTGCTTATGGTGCCGATGACCCAATTACCTAGCTAAACATAAGTCCCAGTTATTGAATAATCAGAAAAAGAGCAAGAAGGGATGTAGGATATTTGTGCATGCATGTGTATTTGCATATTTACCTTATGCTTTCCAAAGGTAATGTGTATTTTCTAAGACTACACTGAAATGGACCTGTGGCAATTTTTGTGCTTTTATTGCAGCTAAATTTCCTGAATTGCTTGTGGACAATGCAGATATCATAATGCCTTAAATGCTTACTAACGATGTATTTGTTCAGACAGTCTCAAGACAACCTCATAAATGTATATCCCCATAAATCTTAAAGAATTATAAAAAGCATTTTCATCTATGCGCAGGGATCAAACATTGCAGTGCTGTTAGGAAATCAATTGGGTTTTGCTGAATGACTTACTTGCCAAGTGGTAGGCATGATACTGTTTGGTAGGCATGAAATACACAGTAAACCTCCTACAGTAAAGAGGTACTTGCAAAATCATTCATTCTCCATGTACCAAACACCTTTCAATCTTTTGCAGCCAGACTCACTATAAGGTACTTCAGAGAGTTGTGAAGTTCTCAGCATCTCACATGTTCTTGTCCTTGATTTATTGTATCAAAATATTTGCCTTCACATTCAAACCAGAGAGGAAGCTAATGTTATTTCTTGTCGCACCCAAAGAAGTGGAGGCTGCTCCTTCCATTTTCAAATGATGATCTCTTTTGCTCTGTTTTGCTTTCCTCTTATCTCTCCAAACTTGCTGTCACTTTGCCAGCAGAGGTGAAATTAACGCATAGCAGGAAGGTATGCTGTTGCCATCATTTGTGCTGCAGTTATTGCCATATATTGCAAAATTTTACTTTAATTTTCTTCTTGATATGATTTTTCCATAGTTGCAAGGACACAGTAGGGTATAAAACAGTTGTGGTAACTGTATGTATTTAGAGAGTGAGGAACGTTCATGCCTGAGAAGGAAGTCTTTCTTCACAATGTATTTCAGTATCTGAAGATAATTTCTCTATAAAGCCTAGTGCATCTCATATGGGCATCTATGTTGGGGGCCAAATTTAGAGCAGAATGTTAGTAATAAGGGATTGTGAACAGGTGCAAGGAATTCCAAAGGAATTCCGAAGGTGGGTTTTTTTGGTACTCAGGCACTGCAAGTTCCTACATAATATTTAATAAATGGGAAGGTCAGCAAATGGAGTTGTATATAGACACTTACCAGCTGTTTCAGTTCCCTAAGGTTAGATGACCTTCCAATACACTGGATCACAGTGCTGCTGTTTGGAAAAATGGGAGAGGGCTGGCAAAATAGTTCCTTAGACTGCAGCTTTTAGGCTGTCAAAGTAGTCAGGTAGTCTTCCTTAGATGCCTCTTAGGAAATAAATGAGTATTTGCTTTGTGGCACAGACACTATTGCTATAGATTTTTATGCACTTGGGTTAATTTGTGAATTAACAATATGGTAAGAGGAGTTATCTCCTCTTCACATATGGGGAATTGAATCACTGGCTAAAACAAGTGACATACCCACGCCTGATCTTTATTCTTATGCCTTATCTGTGCAACCATCCTTCTTTGCTCATATTTTCTCCTTCCAAATAGTGCAGAAGTAGACAAGATAAAATTCTTCTTAGAAAGGAAACAAGTACCACATTTCTCCTACATATATTGCCTTTTGAAAACAGACATAGTTATAAAGTTACTGATACACAGAGGCATTCGTACCAGAAAGAACAGCATGCATAGGAAAATCCTGAGTAGATACAACAACTAACACATGCACAATCATTCTCATGTTGTGATCATGCTGGAGGTCTTGTGCATGCACTGGACAGCCAATCTGTGTATAGTGGCAACATCACTAGGACTTCCAGGATGCCAAACATTTAGAAATTCCAGACAAATGGCCAAATTCCTCTTTTTCTGGTTGGACAAAACTTACATGCAAGAAAAAAGTACATGTTTCAGCGACATTAAAACACACATAACCCTCATCAAATATAATGGCCAAAAAAATGATCACCAACATTCCCAAGCTCTGTAAAGGCTAAGCTGCCTCCTCTACGTGTTTTTTGATCAATTCCAATGAACCACTTTAAATTATCCTAGCTAACTGTGCTTCGCTGTTCCTTTTAGTGAATTTAATTTTGATGACCACTCAGAATATACGTTTGAATTTCCTGAAGATAAGCACAAAACACATGGCCTGTACATACTGGATAACAAAGACAAAACTACTTAAGCTGTACTGAGATAAAGTGGTCTAATTTTACCGTAAAACTAATTCTTTTGCTTCTTCTACAGCTTGCCTAATAAACTCAGGATCTGTTCCTGTGTCAGCACTGAGATACTTCATTTTCATGGGCCGATTTATCATGGTTTCTTTTCTTTGTGCACCAAGAAAAGAGCTCTTCCATTTTGTTAAAACAGTGCAAAACTATTTGCCTGTAAGATTTAATTACCATATACAAACATACATGCATACATACATATTTACACACATGATTATTTTAAGATATTTGTTTGTCATGAAGGACAGAACAGGAAATACAAATATTTCTGTGACCCATTAGGGCAAACTGATTTTCTGAGTGATGGTTTATTTGAAGGATATGGGTGTTATAGTAATTTATGATGACATGAATACCCTCCAGGAATCAGATTATCATTTAGAATAGTTTAGCAAACCTCATTTTCTTCCATGGCATTTTGCTATTTTTCATCATCTGAGAATTTGGCCTAGAATATTTCACAACAATTCTGAGGCACTACAGATAAAGTTGTGTTCTTTTACCTGACAAATAATACTGAGACCCCTAAATCCAGGTAACTTCTTACATCAGTATTTCATGGAACACCGACAGATCTGCCTACATTTTGGAGCTTCCTTAATTTCAGACTTTAGTCTGCACTCATTAAAATTCTAACTATACTCCAACAAAGATGATTTCTTGAAGCCTGGGTCCAACCCCACTTGCTCTGGTGAAAAAGCGCAGCCTGGCTTCTCCCAAGGCAGGTATTAGAACAACGCTGTCAAGCTGTCCAAGCTTGAAAGATAGCTGAAAGATGAGAGTAGAAGGCTGTGCATGTTGTGTCTGACTTCTCTGAGTAAGCAGAGAAAGCCAACAAGTACCAACAATCAGCACAAAAGCACCACTAGTTTGATTTTCCTGAAATTGTATACTAATTTTGCACAGCTGTAATTGACATCACAAGATTCGAGACAGCACAGTATTGCTGTCATGGTATTTAAACGCAGCTTGTAGTCAGAAATAATTATATGGGACTTCAACAATACCCAGAGATTCAAAAGGAGGTGGTGGTTCAGTTTTGGTATAGGACCTTTAAGAACCCCGAATGCATTTAAAATGGGAAAAGGCTTTTTTGAACACCTGACAGGAACTTCTGCAGTTATTCCAGGTACTAGAAATAAGTTCTGAATAAACATAGAAACATTTGCAAAACCTGAGCTACTTTTGCTGCTGGTTTCACTGCAGTCAGCATATCAATCACTGAAGAATTAATGAAATTTTTGCTTCCAAATGAATTGCTCTACCTTCTAACCCCCTTGGTTAGGTTCTGGATCATTGATGGAGTCCAAGCCAAGGAAAGGCCAGTCCTGAAAGATGAATGCAGTCTTCCTATTGGCTTTGGGCCATCACCATAGAAGATGATTTCTTCCATTGCTTATGCCTACATGACTTTCACAACTGCCTGCAAATCTGTTGGAATATAGGATACCTTCAGAGAATGACAATCAACTGACAAAATGTCATTTCTTCCTATGTAGATGTTGGTTGGGTGGTGTCTTACGTTCAAGGTAGTTCTACTTTCCTCTTTATAACCACAGTTTACTGCATTCATTGCAGGGATAGGAGCACTTTCAATAGCTGGAAAATCTTATTCTTTTGAATATTCAGGATATCTGTGTTCAGATGAGACAATTCACTAAAATTAGAGCGTACCATATCTCTGCTTAGAAAACGTAGCATATACACTGACAAAGGAAGGAGATGGAACATAGGTATTTGAGAACCCATCTCCAGTCTTCTGAGAACAGAGAGGTACCACGCATGCTGTTAGCAATCGGACCTGTGCTCAAGCCTGAGACGCCATCACAGAGCTGACACCATGATTTATTTGGATACCTGCTCTTATTCTCCTCCTACCCTGGGAACCAGCTCACGATGACAGCTGTACTTAGAAGTACCCCCACACTAATACCACTCACATTAAATGTCAGCCTCGTTACTCAGCCTGCTCCATCTCATCCTATGTGGTCAGAACTGTCTCAGTATGACATTAGCATTTGAAATATGTTTCTCAGTTATCAGCAATCCTCCTCCAAAAAAAAGATAGTTATTACTTCAAAGAGAAAAAATCAGTTCTCAAGCATTAAGACTACATTTCTGGTTTTTTTTTTTTTTTTAAATACACATCTGACATTTCTATAAACATTTTGGGATGGTGTTTTCCCCTTTATGACTAACTTTACTGAACATTAATAATATTTCTGTCTTGATATAAATATGTAGATGAGTCCCTTCTCCCAGAACATTACCATATAAACCAAGGTCAGATGATTCAGTTAAAAGCCAAAGTTGTTCCTGGCACAGCTCTACTTCTGTAAATGGAGCACATTACTTATTTACACTAGCTGACTTTTCTTTTTTTTTTTTTTCTCGAAAAGGAAGTACAATTACAGTAAGAGCAATGGAAGCACAACAGTGCTTCTTAGTCTGGTGGGTGGAAGTTGATAATTCAGAACACACATATAAAGAGCAATTTGGGAGATGACGCTTGGTGTTTTAGAGAAGCAAGGCAAAAAAGAAGGCATGAAAATCCTTACAGGACAAAGATGCAAAAGAAGAAACAAGTCAAATACATGGACTGAATAAAGAAAGGAACCTAACAAATAGCTTTAAATGGCAATTGCTCCCAAAAAACAAAGCAAATTAATATCACCAAGACTGAACTCCCTCATGGAGAAGCTCTAGGAACAAAGAACAATAGATGACTCAGAGAGGAGCAAAAGAGCAAAGAAATATTAACTGAACATAGACACTCTCGATGTGAAAGGCAGTCTCTGTCTTCAATCTGCATTTGTGTGTATTGCATGGGAGGAAGCCAACATTGCACCATCCCAGGGCACGCATCCCCTTGGCAGAGTGTAACCCTGCTAACACCATGTCTCTCAGCTCCCTTCACATTCTCCCAGCAAGTTAGACAAGTTCTAGAGAACATTTCCCTTTTTTGGCAATTTGCACTTACTGAAAAAGTAAACAAGCAACACAAGAATATCCATCCAGCCTTCCCAGCTGGCTCCAGGTCTTCATACTTAATATAACTCCTGCTGAGGTTTTCTACCAGCACCATCTTCATCATCCAGGCTATCTGCCTCCTGTTCCCTGAAGGCAAATACTTACAGATTCTCTGTCAGCTAAAATCTCTAGAGAAACTGCCTAAGCACACCCTTTTTCCTAGAAGCAGCTCCCAGAGTTTCCCCTTCGACACTCCTCTGAGGCACCTAACAGCTGTTCTCCTAATGTTAACTGGGAGGTCTCCAGCTGGTAAGGACTTGGCCCTGTTCTCCAGCGTCTCTGCTGCTGCTCCAAGCAGCCATCTCTTCAAATGGCAACATCATGCAATAGCAGGAAGGGGAAGAGGGGAAGGTCATATCATAGCCTATACAGCACAACTCAGGAACGATGCTGACCATCGTACCACAGTCAAGCCTCCTTTACCCCCCAGTTTTGAAGACAATGCTATAAGGAACAACAGGCTTATATAATGAAGAAGAAAAATGCTCTATCACCCTAAAGTGACCTGCTGTAGTTGTCATTCTTGCTGCCAGATAAACTACTGTGGCAACATAATAACGGCAAAGAAAACATATCATTCTGACATAAGGCTTGGCAAACCATTCTGGAGTGAATCCAGGAATGGCCAATGGGTTTGAACAGCCAGATGTAACAGCATGAAGAGATGGGGCTATACAGACAAAGACATAACAAACTTCAGGGAAGTGTCTATCACCGATACAGTTACAATATTCATAGTATTGGGCAACGGAGCACACACAACACTGAATAGTCTCATGCTCTGTGTCTCCAGCTAAATAGCAATTAGACTGCTCTGGAGTAGATATATAACTGGACAGGAACAGCCTATAGGAGACTTTTCTCCGTTACTGAGCTTTCTGCAAAAGCACTCTACATTCAAAAGGGTAGGTCTGGGGTTCTCTGTGTGCATGTGTGGATAGTATGCCTAATTATAGCCTATATTGTCTAGGTGGCAACATAATACATTATCAGTATCCAGAACCAGGCAACAGCATCACTAGATGTGGGAAGTTTATAAACTTACTCTTAGACACAATTTACCCTCCCACACCCCACCCCCAGTGGAGAAGCTAAAGGAGCAGTATCTCATCTAGAGCATGAAAAGGAAATGGAAACCCAGAAAAACCAGTCTTGGTGAGAGAGCAGAGAACATCTGCAGCAGCACTGGGCTGCATAGCCGCCAGCTCACTAGGTGAACAGGATATTTGGTGTTTGCAGACAGGTTGAACATGAGTCAGCAATGCGCCTTAATGGGGGATGAGCGTCAACGGCGTAGCATTGGCAAAAGTGTAGACAGCAGGTCAAGAGAAGTGCTTATTCTCTCTGTTCAACGCTTTTGAGATGACACCTGGAGACTGCACCCTATCTGAGCTCCCCAGTACACAAAAGACACTGTCAAACTGAAGGAAGTCCAGCAGAGGTATCCTAAGATGACTAGGGGACTGCAATACATGAATGAGAGACCTGGGTTTGTTCAGCCTACAGAAGAAAAGTCTATGGGGAGGATCTACCTGCTGTATTAACTACCTCATGGGCAGTAGTAAAAAAGACTGAGCCGGATCCTTCTCAGAGGCACACAGGGAAAGGCTGAGAGGCAATGAGCACCGGTCACAACCAGGGAAACTGATCAGATACTAGCAAAACTTCTTCATAGTGAGAATGGTCCGGCACTGGAGCTGTTGCCTAGAGAGGCCAAATGACCCTTGTGAACATGGGCTCAGAGTCACTTTCAGGTGGGAAGAGCAATTTCCAGCTCCTTGTGTGGGGAAGCATTTAACTGAGCTGAGATTTAACCATCACCCTATGAAGGGAGTTACCTTCAGCCCACCAACTGATAACAGCTTGTTTCTGTGTGTGCCAGTGGCTCCACGCTGACTGGTTGCTTCACTTGCAGTGCTTGCTGCAGGGATGCAGTCTGTGCTGGGAGCTGCACTTCTGGCTCAGGACGTGGGAGGATGTGGGTTGCTGATGTGTGAATGAGAGGGAGAGAGAGCTGTGAGATTTGAGGGTGCTGCAGGTT